TACTGCCTCATAATTAAAGTTGTCCCCGACAATAAACCGTACAAAGAACTACTTGGACTGTATTCATAAAGTTTACGAATAAGAAATCACCTTTGGTTTTAAGCTTTGGCTTTGATGAGTTAATGGAGGTTTATGACTTCAAATATTTGGGTAGTATTGTTTCATCTAACCTTAAATGGGGCAGGCACGTTGACTCTATTTGCTCTCGCGCCCTCCGGAAATTAGGATATGTTAAACGTGAGTTGAAATGTTTTTCTGAAGAGGTCAAATTAACCGCTTTTAAAATCCTCGTTAAGCCGATTACGGAGTATAATTCTGTAGTTTGGGAAGTTTATCTAAATAAAGGACATTAATCTTATCGACTCTACTCAGGCCAAGGCTGTCCGATTTATTTCCAATATATATGGTCGACAGCTTTCACCTACATCCGCTATGCCAACATTAGCGCTAGAGTCTCTGTCTTTCAGACGAACTGTCGAGCGGTTGCAAATGCCACACAGAATTATTAACGGAGATAGTGGCATTCATTGAGAGCATGGAATACATTTCCTTTTCAGACATGACGCGCACTAGACGATCCCATCCTTCATACATTGCACCTTTTCAGTTTCATAATCATTGTTATAAAATTTCATCCTTCCGCGCACGGTCGAATTTTGGAACAGTATGGATGGATCACGCATATGCCTTAGTACGTCGACGTTGTTTTAGAAATTTTGAAACTTTATTTCGTGTGATGTGTGACTGGCGAATCATTATTTTGCCTATGTTCTTGTTTATTGTTAGCACTACTCATTTGCTTTCCACCTGCCTATTCTACTCCTGCAATGATCTCAATTCAAGTCGCAGTATGTTCAAATAAATAAATAAATAAATAAAAAATGAATTCGACTTTACTTAGAACTACAAGTGTGTACGAGAAATATACCGAAAAAAAGCATATAGTGAACAGCCGAACGACAGCCGCTCCAAGCCTTACAGGAGTGCCCAAAACAAGTGCACGTGAAACCGAACATAACATTAGTCTCCCGAGCCGGTATTTCACGAATTTTGAGTTCGTTCAAGCTAATGATTGAATATGGTTGATGTTAGGATTATAGGAATCTTCACCTCTTTGCGCTATTTAGGTGTAATTAAAAATATAATTACATCTTTATGTTTTTCGTATTTTTTTTGCAGAAAGGCATCGTGTATTTTTTTGTTGTTGAAGAATACCATTTATTATCTCTCCATTTCTGTACATATATCAATGCACACATAACATAAATCGATTGAATTGAATAATGTAAGGGCGCAAACGAGCTGGAGAATATTAAGCGTGGCAAAAAAACCCGATACTGCGGGTGAAAACAACACACACTTTTTAGAGTATGCGTTTCGTTTTTGCCCGCAGTCTCCGGGTTCTCATCATATTAATATATCGATTGTATGAATACGTCCTGACTAGGTCATTTTGTTTTTCATCTCCCGAAGTGATTAGCTTTATGAAGCGTACATCCAATGTAACCCGAAATACAACCACCATCCGTACCCGCTGCTCAGAGGAATGTGAAGTCACATTACAATTTGCTACATCTTCAGTATAACCTCTCCAAATTACCCAATACATATAGCATGGGTAGCATTGATGTTTAGAGTTTGAATCGTAAATCACTGCACCTACTGTATGCCTATTATGTATTCTTTTATGTAAACCGTTTCTTCAGTGTATATGTTACTTCGATTGCTATCTTCATGGCCATTGCCCTCTTCCAAGCATACGGGGCCCGGACTCGTCAAGACAACAAGGATTGGCTTTTTGTCCGTTGCTCCGGAATCTGTATCTTAAGGTACAATAAATGATTTGATAAGATTTGCCTTGATCCAGGAATTGAAGACGAAGTTGATGTTGGTTTTAGCATTTTGTGATTTCTGAACGCAGTAAACGCAGAGGGAAAGCAAAAAGAAAAATAGTGTGTGATAACCTACTTTTGTGTTCGCCTTATTTTTTGTGCGTTCCGTGCTTCTTATAGTGAGAGAAAATGAATCGTGCCACTTGCAGGATGTACAACACGTTCGACTCGGCACGAGGGTACATCGGAACAACCCCACGATACGCTTCGCTGCGAGGTGGTCTCTGAAGGTGTTCCGGAAAGGTCTGTCACGAGGCGGCGCCACCGAAGCACTTCGACGCCAAAAAGACTGTATCGGTATAGTATAGCGAATAGTTTTCGATTGGCCATCTCTCTCCTCCGTGCTGACCAACGCCGACAGCGGATGATCGAACATTTGCCCGGCCGCTTGCCTTCGGCGTGCTCCGCGCAGCAGCGTGCCTTGCCGTCGGTATCCAGAAATGAACGAACGTCCCCCCGGCAGCCGCCGCTGTTTTTCTAACGGTCGGCCGCCGTTTCCGCACCGGCGTAATGCGGTGGCGGACATCAACACGAGGCGAGACTCGGATCACGTCCCGCCTCGCTCCGTCACGCGTGTTGACGTTCCTTCGGCGTCGCTCATCACGCTCGGTGCCCGCGAGAACGTCGTCGGTCGGCGCTGTTTGCGCTGTTTGTCGTCGAGCTATAAGTCTTGTTACGAAGAGAGCTAATAGTAGTCGCGTATTTGTTTTCTTAAGGTGGGTTCAGCGAACTGCGACACGTACGATGTTCGTGTTTCGTCGTGTGGTTCTTTGATGTTGGTCGGCTTTGTTTCTGGGCGTTTTTGCCTGGCTGCTGGGAATAGTTTATTTAGGAGTCGTGGCTTACATTTTGATAGAGGAACGCACCGCTTAGAGATGGCCGGTATTTTAAGTATCATTATTTCAAATCCCTAGTTAGATATCTCGGAATATTTCGTATTTGCTCGCATAATTAGGTAATGCATTCGTCGGTTGTATTTACCTACAAAGTTGAGTGTTTCAAATGCGATTTTGAAGCTTTTGTTGTTTAGGTCATGCCCTGTCGTCGTCCATGAGTAACAGTTTTGACGGTGCGATATAAATGTGGTGAAGGTTCCCGTCAGCACGCTCTTAGCGCAATGTCAGCGCTCCAAAATTTACCCGATCTCACTCCATAGGGTAAAGGTTGTGTACCTTGGAGTTAGAAAACCTATCCGCGTCCAGCGTTGCTTTATCTGTCTTGTCACGTGATATGATCCGCCGAAATAAACTCGGATCCATTCGAGTAAGTTTTGGAACACAGCCTGTGTGAACGGGCCTTAAAGGGGTACGGAAACCAAATTCTGGAGCTCATTTCTTTGTTTCAACACGACGCAGGTAGCAGCACAACCACAGAAACATAAATATTGCGCTAGAAAACGCAAGAAAACATATTTTAAAGTGAATTAAACGATAATCAAAAACCACCTGGTAGTTGGTTATGAAGCTTCAATGGAATGTCGTGACGACAACATGCCTCTGAAAGCAGCGCCGCAGCGGTATGTCCGCTCACTGGTATAGATTGCCTAGGCCTGAACGCAATACCGAGGCGTCTTGGTGGAAAGAGCCAAAACGAAGTGAGCCACCTTGGTTTCAGCTCTCGCGCGACGTGCAAACGCGTGCTTCGGTTGTTCTCAGGTTTGGTGCGCGTGCTGGCCCCGCGATCTCTACAGCCCTTGGGTACTTCGACAAAGCGAGATTGTAACGCGTTGACGCCTCCAAGTGGCAAAACTCGTCACTACGGTACGCTTGGTCGTCCGAGGCATGATGACGTCAAGACGTCTGCCGGATCTCCCGAGATGCATCGCGCTCCTCCATGGCTGATTTTGAAGCGCTCGCCAAAATCGCGGCATTTAGACCATAAAATATAGCCATCTGCTCAAAATACGACCGTGCGATTATTCATTACAGGCTTAGCTGATCATATTGAACTCATTTCTTGATGTTTTCTCTATATTTCAAGTTTCGATTCCGTATCCCTTTAAAGAAGCCTGAAACACATGTGAGCAAAAATCGCGTCGCGTAGTGCCGCCAAGCAGCGTAACCATAGCAACCGTCGCTAACGCTACCACGGCACGTGGCACGGCATTGGCGGTTCCTACGGTTAAGCGTGTTTCACATGCAGCGATCTTGGCCCTAGAGTGGCGCGATTTCTGCCGTCGCGGCGCTCGTGACGCTCAACCGCTGGTGCTGGCCAGAGCGCCGCGACAACAGAAATCGCGCCGCTTTAGGGCCAAAACCGCTATGTGAAACACGCTTTACGCCGCTTGGCGACGCGACGGCACGCGATTCTTGCTCACATGTGTTTCACGGTTAAGTGGTTCTAGGAGAAGCTGCATAAGCACAGCACACACTTATGCAGAGTCCTCTCCAGACGAGACAAAGAATGATTTTTTTTTTTACTCCAATAAAGGTGCTTTAAACAACAACTATCAACGAAGAGACAACGAGCGTGCATGGGCGAGTTGGCGGAGGACAGTGATTTCGTAGAACTATAGCCTATAGACGGGGGGCGAAATGATTTGAATATGAAAAGACGTTGTACTGCTAAAGATAGCTTTGGTCGACCCGAAACCGCCTTTGTTACGTCGGCAAGGGCAGGTAACGGCAAGGGTGGTTTGTCCGCTCGGCGAGAACGAGGCGTTACGCGTCCGCGGCTGGTCACCAGGCCATTCACGTGTGGTTTGTCTACGCACCGCGGCCGCACGTGGCTGCCGAATCTTTGTTAAAGCTCCACCGGCATTGTTGGTGACAGATCTGGTTTAAAAAGGCGACTCCGTTATATTTTTGTTTCTTTTACCTCGTGTTCGGGAACTCTGGCGACACTGTTTTGTATTGTCACCGAAACATGTGTTTTCTTTTTATCAGCTGAAATAAACAAAAATACAGAGGAGCGATTGGCTGCCTCTTTAGGAATGCCGGCTGCTTCATTGTAGACACGCGCATTTAAGCTTTGTCCATTCACTCACTGACTGTCAACCGCGCCCAATCAGTTTTAGGGAGTCTCGGTACACGTGACTTATGTGCTACAAAAAAAAAAAAAAAAGGTGATGGCCCGTCTGAGCTCAACGTGCCCGTGTTGAATCCTCACCGATCTGTATTGCTCCGTGGGTTCGAGGTCAACGCGGACTAGGTCGAACTTGCCCGGCAGGGGAGTGTCACCTGGACGGGAAGGGCTTACGTCAGTTCATTCCACCGAGAAGAAAAGGCGACCCGCGCGCTCAAGGTATACGAGAGACGCCGCAAAGCGAAAGGCGCGTCTGTCTTGGTGACGCCGCGCGGTGGGACGCTGCAGGATGCGCTGGCCGCGAGGCTGACGCAATGTAGGCCTTGGCCTCTAGGTGGCATTCCGTGAGTCGACGCCGTGGCATGCACGCTAAGTAATTTGGAGCGGTTACTTTCCCGCAAAGCACCTGGGAGATCTGCTAACCGATTTCCAGCCTCGGCGTTCGCCGAGTCAGTAGATTGCGGCGCTTGGCTTTCTCAGGTGCTTTGAGGGAAACGTAGACGCACCGGAGGTCTTAGAGCTTGAGCCCCTTACAGATTAACCGAGAAAAATAAAATGAACACGGATGCATATTGACAACATTTCAACGGCGTCCGCGTCTCACTTACATTTAAATATACATATTAATTTTTTTGTATGGTATAATATACGAGACATTGTCTGGACGTTGTGTTGTGACAAGCGGTGGAATCTGGTCCTCACGATGGAGTACTTCAGATGAAATGCACCACGCAGCACACTTGGACATTAATAATCATTGATAATAAGCGTGGGGTTCACTTAAAAAATCAACAACAGCAATTGCGTTGCTGGGTTTTAAATCTTGCGTAATTTTGTTGGTGCTGGTACGGGTGCTTCACTGTGTACGACTTATTAATAGTGCAAGATTTAACTCTAAGACCACTAACAAATCAATGAAATAGAACCAGTGGCGTTTCTAAAACAACAATTGTAACAAGGTTCTTTTTTTTTTTCTTTTTTAAGTTTCGTACAAAGGCTGGACTCCAGGAGCTAATACGCTGCGAAAAAGCCACGAATTTCGCCCGGTGGCGTTCGCTGCGCGGTGTGAAAACGGTGGATTTCAACGCCTAGCGAAAAGCGAACTTCCCCCTCGGGTGTAGTCCATCGCCTTTTAGCACCAAATTCGTTCAATGGACCCCGAACTTTGCATGATCTTCAAACCTTTCCTTAGGCGGCAGATTATCGGAAAGAATCTGCGGTACATCGTTTGGACCTAGAGGGATGGCATAAGTGGACTGACCCTTTTAAAAGCACGCATGTACCAGAAGGTGCTGATGTTACTACAATGAACTCGGGGCAAAACCCTGTTTGATCGACCTAACCTGTGCCGACTTCGTCCGGTGTGTAGCGTCTGTCGCACCAAAACGCTGGTTGAGCTGTCTCATTTCCATTCAAGACTTTCTTCGAAAACACCATACGCAAGCGCAAGGCGCGTATAATTTTGACTTAATGCCGTATAATATTTTGTCCCTGTCTGTTCATGATCTGTTGGTGTTTTTTTCTTCTTCTTCTTGAGTTTTGTTTCTTATTCCATTAATGCGTCGGTGAAAGAGGGGCGGCTGGAGGTGAGCTTTTAGAAATGTTTTTTTCTTCCGCATTTACGCACGCTTGGGCTGACACACATTCCTCGGTGTATGAAAAAAAAAAATGACAAACACAAAAAAATGTCTTTCCCACAAAAAACAAAAAAGAAAGATTGGCTTTAGAACGTTGAGATTGAAGTTTTAGAAGCTTAAAGTTACAACGCAAAAGATATTCTACCATAGTCAGTGACCACCATGGCGAGTCCCAATCATGTTATTATCGATTCTAACGCCAATCAAACGTTCTAATGCCAATCACACGATTGGCATTAGATGCAAGAACGCCCGGCATAGATTGCTTTGATCTTCCACGCGCATGTGTTCATTATCCTTTAATTCAGCATCCCACGAGACTCAACAGTTTGATGCTGCGTTTAGTAAACGACACTGCGAAGTATTTTCAGATTTACCAAAAAAGAGCACGTGATTTTCGATAATCATAAACCCGAGGCTACGGGAGAAATAAAATAACGGACAACACGAAATGGAATCGCTGAGATTTTCCGTCGTGTTGTCCATTATTTATAGCTGCCAGTCTCAAGCTTTGGGCTAGAATGTTTCCTATAACCAAGTCACCAGCGTGCATTTTGACATTTTTGAGCTGCCATAGCTCTCCGTTTACCCCGGTAAATTGAGGCCGCGGGTGTATTGCAAAAAGTACACTTACAGGCGGGGCAAACGCAGCGGCTGGCCAACTCTCCGGAGACGTCCTCTTCGCAGAACACGTCTGACCTTGTCGCTAAGGAAGGGTTCGACTCGCTCGCTCCATCCATGCAGCGAGTCGCCGTGACGCTTACTTTGCTAGGGGGGAGTCTTGAGAGGCATTAGTGTAGTTGAGTAGAGTTAAGTTATGACTACGCTTTTCGAAAATGCCCGCGTCTTCCCGCTTTGCCTAAAGCCTCCTGTTGTGAAAGACCAGAAACGCGAGCTTCTTTGCTCAATGATGTAACTCGAACTTTACGAAGTCTAAAACCGCAGTCACAATGTTCGGACAAACGACGCCGTGCCCGCTGCCGACACAATGACAAAATTATTACCCGACATGCGTCACACATGCTAGAATCATGTTTGCTTCGCACGAATGTAGGCTTCCAACATGTGTGCAGATAATTTTTTTTTTTGAATGACCAGTGTGACCGTCATACGAGAAGGAAATATGCCTCAGACAGTAGACCGCGCATGCGTAGTGCGTACCGGAGGGCCCATCGCACCGCACCGGATCTGCAGAGACGGTTCCCTGAAACTCTATACTGTCTTCAGACTGTCTTTAGCACGATTATCCTCAGTGTGACCGCGGCCTCACGCAGCAGGAGGAACTGCCAGAGATTTATGCGAACCATGACTTGCTTTTTGAGTGCTCTGTGGACGTACAGACTGTGGTTCATCGTAATGGTGTAACGGGGTGTAGAAACAGAATCCTTTCGAACGAGGCATCGTCACTGTAAATGCGCCCAAGAAGGCGGATTTTGATTGCAGCCTTTCCAGAGGAGATTGAAGTTTCCAGGTGATGGCCGTTTCTAAGGCTTCCAATCTCTCCACTGCTCTTCGTTTTTTTCTCTCTCTCTCTTTCCCGGGTGATGGCCAAGAGGGAAGCTCAGCACGCGGAACGGTGTGATAGTCACCAGGATGGATACGAGAGCACGAGGTGACCTGCGGTGGAAAGCAAAGCGCGTGTCGTAATTTTTTTTTCATACAAAAATGTTAATGTTTATTTTTTTTTCTCGAAGACTCGAAGAACTTATGAGTGCTATTTCCGGAGCGAGTTACGGGGCCGGAAAAATGATTCAAAGTATACTCACGGACAACTTAAAAAAACGTGGGGCGTGGTTTGTTGTATGTTAGGACTGCTGACTGGGCGAGGTGGTGGTTCATGTTATTTAAAGTTACAGGTAAAAAAAAAAAAAAAAGCTCACGGGTTTAGGCCACCGTGGCACACGCACACTGTAAAATAACACAGTCGCCCAGCGCTGACTCAAATCTATAAGGAGTATTCACTGGGCGCCATATTTGTGGGCGCTGTCTAGAGCGCACGATTTTGATTAAACACGTCTTTAATGAAACCGCCCTCTGGCTGATAAGGCCTCGAGGTGGGCGGGGGTAAGGGAAGAGGGAAATGGGGTGATTATGTCAAATGAAAGTCCTGACCCCGGAGGATTGGAGGAATGTTATGATGGATGAGTATATAAGCTTGAGTTCCACCTCCTCAGTCGTGGCCGGCTGGGTCCATTCCTCAAAGGAGGTAGGGCGTAAGTGGCTTGGGAGGTCTGCGATGACGGCAGTCCGCTCCCGCGAGGTCCCCCTACAATCCCACATTAAGTGTTGGCACGTTGCAGGGTCTTTGCAGCACACGCAGTTCGGGTTTGGTCCGATATCTTGGGTGTCGGCTGGGCGGTGTATCCTGGCTCTCCACACGGGGGTCATCATCGTCAGCGTTTGTATACGGTGGAGAGCCACCTTTTCCCAGCGCGGAAATCCGCGAGGGATCGGATGGGGATTATGTGGCAGCAGGGCGGCGAGTCTTGCCTTTCCTGCAATTCTTTCTTCTCGTTTGACTTCGAAGATGTCGAAGTCGTCTTCCTCTTGCTCGTCCCGTTGAACGGGCGAGAAGACGAGACCTTTTGAGGACAATTTTTCTGCTTGTAGCTGCGCCCTCGCGGCCCCGTCCGCCCGCTCGTTCCCCGGGATGCTCGCGTGGCCCGGAATCCACGAGACCGTGATTGTCTGTTGTGGTTTCGCTTGGCGGACCAGCGTTCGAATTTTTGTGACTGTGGTGTTGCAAGCGTCTGAGCGTCTAAGTTCGCGTAATGCTTCTTGCGAGTCCGTGTAGATTCGAGATTCAGTAATTCCTGCCTGGCGTGTTGTCGTCGATGCATGGACTGCCATCTGTATTGCGAGTAGCTCTGCGGCGCAAGCGCTTCGCGTGCGTGCGGCTAGTTGTTGCTGGGTTTCTTTCCTGGTGGTGGAATGCCAGGCGATGGCTGTGCGGCCACTCTCGTCGCGAGCCGCATCGGTGTAAAACACCTCAACGTTCGCTTTGAGGGAGCCAATTTCTGCGAGATGCATTTTGACCTGTGTGCCGCGACGTCCCGAGTTGTCGATTCCTTGGTGCTTGGGAGTAGGTTTGATTGAGGTGACCAGTTCTGTGTCCCACGGGGGAGGTGTGATGGGCATTATTGGGCCTTTCGCTAGATGACTTCTCCCGCTCTTTTCGAGAATGACTCGTCCATGGGGTGTGCGCGCCAGTCGGCGCTCCTGGCTGATGGCCATCTCTTGTGCGATTTCTCGGATGGTATTCATTTGCGCTGCACGTTCGAGCTGTTCCACGGTGGTGAAGCGGGGCAGGCCAGTGACAATTCGCATCGCTGCTCGGTTCATTGTAACTAAGGTCGCTTCCTGTGCACGCGTTAATCGAAGATAATTGATACCATAAACCACTTTGGATACGAGCAGGGCTCGGACTAGGCGGCGTAGTAGTTCTTCTTGTGCCCCCCAAGACTTGCTGGAGATGGCTTTGAGGAGTTCAAGACCTTTCTTCCATTGTTCTTTGACTTGTTTAATCCATGTAGTGCGCCCCCGTTCTGGTTAAAGGGGACACCCAGGATTTTCACGTTGTTAGATGGTGTGATAGGATCTCCGTCGAGATGAAGTTTGATGTTGACGCTAGATTTCCTGCGCCTGCTTGGGATGACCATGTAGGTAGTTTTATCTTTAGATATTTCCATTCCAGTGGTGCAGGCAAAGGTGGTGACAATATTCAATGCTCGCTGCATGTAGTGCTGCTGTTGTTCAGCTCCCCCGGCCGTAGTCCATAGGGTGATATCGTCCGCGTAGATGGTGTGCAGAACTTGTGGGACATTATCGAGGGCTCGAGCGAGATCCGTCATTACAATATTGAAGAGTAGCGGCGACAGGACCGCACCCTGTGGTACTCCAACGTTGTTGGGCTTCCATTTTCCTTTTGTGTTGCCGATCATTATTTGGTAGGTACGATCCTGCAGAAACGTCTTAATAAAGTTCAGAAGGCGTCCTTGGATCCCGAGCTTCTTAGCAGCATCTACCACGGTGTGATGGGGGACAGAGTCAAACGCCTTCCGTAGGTCGATGGCGACAAGTGTGCGGGGTTGACTCTTGAATAGCCGTCGCTCATACATGTGGTAGTGTATCATGAGGAGGCTATCTTGTGTTGACATGTGTGGTCTGAAGCCAGTTTGTGTGGGGTGGAATGCTTTGGAGGTCTCGAGGATCCATGAAAGGCGAGTGGTGACCATACGTTCCATGACCTTGCACAGATTAGAGGTGAGGGAGATAGGCCTAAGGTTAGCGACCGTGTGTGGTGTTTTGCCGGCCTTCGGGATGGGAATCACGGTCGATCGTTTCCAATCAGCGGGAATTTCCCCTTCGGACCATATCTTGTTAAAAGTTTCTAAGAGTTCTTCCATGGCGTCTGTGGGAAGGTTCCGGAGCGCCGTAACGGTGATTTTGTCTGGGCCAGGCGCGGACTTCGCGTTCGCCGAGCTAAGAGCGTCAACAAGCTCCGCAAGTGTAAATGGTGCGTCTGCTGGCTGTTCGTGCAAAATAGGCTGTCGAGTGTAAGTTTCGGTTGGCGGAGGGTTGGGTTGCTGTGGGAAAAAATGTTCTCCCGCTTCATCTGCCAGTCGTTCTTCGCTTATTTTGAGGCGGAGGGCAAGGTTGCTTCCCGTGTTTCGTGTTTTCGTTTTCCCGGAAAGGCCTTTGTATGCGTGCCATACTTTGTAGTAGCCCGTTCTGTAGTTGAAAGAGTCACACAGGCCACGCCATGTTGTTCGGCAGAGTTCTATCGTGTACTTCTTAGCTTCGGCTGTAGCTTGATTGAGGCGGATCTTGTTGGTCAGTGTCCGTCGGACTCTGTAGTGCTGGAGGGCGGCTAAACGGTTGTCCCATAGGTTGGTTAGGTGAAGATCTGGCTGAGGAGTGTCTTCTTTCACCTGGTATTCCGTGCGTGCTTCTTTCAAGGCGCGCTGAATTCTCTCGGTGAATGGAATGTCACTGTGCCGGCTCATCGCCGTGCGGTAGTTATCCCATTTGGTGAGGGTTACTCGCCGTCTCGGGGAAGTACGGATGCCGAGTTTGAGATAAATGGGCAGGTGATCGCTACCCATGGGATCTGACTGGACCTGCCATTGAAGTCTCAATCTCGGGGATGCCCACGTTAGGTCGGGTGACGTGTCATTTTGGCTGGTGGACTGGGCCAACCGGGTGGGAACGCAGGGGTTGTTGCATAGCTTGAGCTTGGCTGTGGCACAGGCTTTCTTGATGTTCCTTCTGCGGGCGTTCTCGTCTGGGTACCCCCACGCACTGTGACGAGCATTGAAATCACCGGCCAGGATGGTATGTTGTCCAGGTGTTACGAGTCCCTCGATCCAATCGGCCTCGTTGGGGCCCACGGACGGTCGTGTGTATATGTTGTGGATTGTAATTACAGTGTCACCGAGCTTGACCTGTGTAGAGACGACCTCACGGTCGCCTGAACACGCCGACTCGGAATCTAATTGCGTGTGTGGATGTGTTTTCTTAATTAGTGTGGCTACGATGCCGTAGTTATTTGTTTGTCTCTGAATACTTGGATATATGAATGTTTTGTATCCCCGTACTCTGAGTTTATTGACATTAGCTTCCTGAAGGAGGATAATGTCGGGTGCGCGGTTTTTAAGTTTTTGCAGACGAACTTTAAGTTCTGGTAGCTTTTGTTGCAACCCTCCACAGTTCCATTGTAGGATCCACGGTGAAGTGTTTGAGCAGCGTTTGTTCTGTGTACGTGAGGATGGTGTCTTTTGTGTGGTTCCGGATATGTTTTGTGTATTAATATTTATCATTATGTGTGTCAATGAGCCTGTGTATTGCCGCCGTGAGCGCGGCCAATTGTTTCTCCATTCGTGCAAAACTTGCTTGCTGAGCTTGCAAGGTTTGTAGCGTGATGTCGTGTTGTTCCAGTTGGTGAGCACGTGTTGCTACTGGCTCGGAAGTTGCTGCGGTTACCGCTGCATACGATGTCCCACCACTTTGCAGCTTCGGTGGTGCCATATGTGCTTCGGGAGGCGGGAGCTTACCCTTTCCTTGTTCTTGTCTGGCCCTTGGCCGCTTGTTGCGCCGTTCTGGGATTGCTCTTTTCGGGCAGTCATTGCTCGTGGCCAAGTGAGCTCCGCTGCAATTCACGCACTGTGGGCTCCGCGAGCATGTTTCCATAGCATCGTGCTCAGAGCCGCACGTTCCACAGCGCGCAGCGCTTCGTGGGCATACATCCATTTTGTGTCCGATCGTGTGACAACGAAAACACACCAACGGACGCGGGCGATACTCGCGGACATTTAGGACCTCACACATGTAGGTCACTTTCTTCGGAAGAATCTTGCCTTCGAATGTCACTAGAACGGTGTTGCCTTTTGTCCCAATGGGCCTCGCTGATGCGATTTTTCGACCCTTGCAGGTGATGTCGGCCTGTAGTGATTCAGGCGTCACCTTGTTTCCTTGGCCCAGGAGGTAAATAACTCCCCGGCATTGGTTTCCCGCCAAAGCTTTGTACGGCTGTAGTGCGTGTGTATCCTCGCCTTTCCTTATTTCTTTCACTTGCAGAAGTTTCTCCAGCATGAGAGGGTCCCGTGTTGTAATGGCGA